GCAAAAAAAGGAAATCCAGGGAACTCCCTACCATGTCCTTCCTTGGGTCTCAAAGTCCCTGGCTTTTCTGCCTTCTCTCAAAGTCTTCTTATGTTTATTTTATATACAATATTCAAGGCTTAGCTGTGCACAGCCAAAGAAATAGGGAGGGGTGTGTCTATTCCATCTTTGTGGAGACAGAAATTTCATAATAATTTTTTATTACAAGATCTTGAAATACATTACAGGGACCCTCAGTTACCACTGTACATGCAGAACTCCATCATTAGAGTAAAAGAATGTCTGTGAGGCCCCTCACAGGGGACACCTTATTGCTGAACCATGGTCTCCTGCTCTAATCTCATAGGCTCTATGGAGAGAGTGATGTGCTTTGAATTTTAAAAAAAATGTACAAAATCAGAAGACAAGAATGAAGCAACCTTAAATAAGAAGTCTAAAAATTGAGTAAAGTTGGGCTATACCCAACTTCACTTTACTCTCATACAACTGAGAGTAGGTTTACGAAAACTCTGTCGGTCCTGTGGAGTTTGAAACTGTGAATTAAATGGCAGTGTGAATCAAATAGTAAGTTATTGAAAATGCAAAAAAGTCTGCTTATCTGAGTTTAAGGTCTTTATTCTTTGAGAGGTCACAACTTTACATTTAGATCACCACAAAATGAGAGCTGCTGACCTCAGCCACATAGGGCATGATTAGACCTCAGGTTAGAGAAGGCAGGAAAAGGGTCAAAATCACAGAGCACCCTGGTCCGTGGCAATTTTTGGCAAATACAGTGTTTGTCATGTAGTGGACCCTCATAAACATGTCTGAACTGAAAACGTTCAAGGCATGAACTAATGGTTTAGGCAAGAGTTAAAGACACTAAATATATTATTAAATAACTGTTGTTTTTAAAAAATGGTCCCATTTCGAAAGGATAGAAGGGAAGAGAAGTGATAGGTTAGCAGAGCTGAGTAATCCTTAGTACTATTCACCAACACTTTTGGTCCTCTTACTGGGCACATGGTAGAATTTTACTTCCTGAGACCCTATGAATCGGGCATGTGTTCGACCTGTAAAATGTGACAGACGAGGCATGTGGTTTTTCCACGCGGTTTCCCTGGGATGTGGCAAGCAGCCCTGTTCCAGATGGGGGAGGCTGCATCCCTGGCTGAGAGCAGGAACATTAGTGTGAGCAGGACATTAGTGCAGGACATTAGTGGGAGCAAGAAATCAATCAGGAAGGACAAAAATCAACAAAACATTTAGTATGTGCAAGGAATCAATCTTTATCATTTTAAATGATAAAAAAAGCAGGGGCTGTTCACTATAAGATTACATGACCCTGAATGATAGGAAATAGTAAGAGTGCGTCTTTAGCAGTGGGATTATAAGTGATATTTCTTTTTTTAAATCTTCTTGTATTTTCTAATTTTTAAAAGAATGTTTTTATCTATTTTTGACTTTTCTATTATTTTCGTAATAAAGAAACAATTATTTTAAAATAAACTGGGGGAGCAGGCACATTTTATGATTTAAATATGTTTGTAATTTGAAATGATGTTATATTTTTATTGATAAATGTACAAAATGTATAGAATTAATACTATTTTCTTGAATTTAGGGTATGTCTTGGTACATACTCTTTAGTCTCCAAGAACTCTGAAAGACAAGGTGTTCCACTGTCATGGAATCAAGGCCTACCATCCTGAGACAGGTCTGTTCCAGCCCCTTAAAAATGCACCTCTAAGAGTGTAGCGGATGCCCTTAGAGTCCTGGGAGACTTCTGTGTGACTGACAACTTCCCCTTGTCTGCAGTTAGCTAATGTGATCAGGCAAAGGTAACCAGCAATAAGGTGTTGACCATAAGAGGGTTGTGTTTGCTAATTTTTCCCTCTCTCATTTTCCCCTCTGCACAACACACACACACACACACACATGCACACACACACACACGTCATTATTGATGACACAGCCAGACCCATTCAGGAATAATCAGAACATTTGCACGTTGCCTGTATTACACAGGAGGGCCTTTCATTTGAATTTTATAGAAGGGACACGAAGAAAAGTGACTCTGTTTCTACTCTGGTGCAAGCTCAGAATTCCAAGGCACAGGGTTTACACGTCTTTATCTGCATATATTCACTTGCTGACTTGAACAAGAGCGAGAAAAGCTCGCACCTTCGACCTGGCAGACTCATCAGCCAGGGCCAGCCTAGGGAGAAATGACAGGAACTGAGCTCTATAATTTCTTCTTTCAATCTCCCCTGACACAATCAGAAGACAATTTTTAATGTCTTTGATGATTGCAGTTCCATAAACAAAAACTAAGAGTCTCTAGATATGTTTAAAAGGTTAATATTTTATGGTTCTGTCTACTGTCTCTCAAGTATTGTTTAGAGTTTTATTCCACTCTATGAACCTAGAAATCAATAATGTGGTAGACATCTATAGAAATAATTAGGACCTTCTTGTTGGTCCTATAAAATGATAGTGAAGCCCTGGTTTTATAAATAAAGGCTTTACTCTTGTTCTTTTTCTACAGCCCTTCAGATCCCACATTTAGTGTTTGAGATAATGAATTATACTTCTGAATAAGATGTTAAAAGGGCCCCAAAAGAGTGAGGCTAGTGCATAGCACTTACTACAAAGAAAAAACTTTGGGGAATGGTCTCTTTTCTTTTTTTCCTTTTTTTTTAAGGAACCAAAAAACTTTTAGATTCTGAACTCTACCTAAAAGAAAAAAGATAACCTTATTAAGAGCTTTCACATTTCTAAAATTAGATTTAGAATAATGAGAGATCATGACAAATGTACAAATTAGTATAAATAATTTATCTACTCCTGTACTTGGTGGTTCCATTAAGTTTTTAAAAATAAAAGAAGCACAACAAAAAACAAAGAGTCCCATTTAGCCTTCAAAATATTTAATTCCTTTCTACTCTGTAAAATGTCTAGATAGAGGCAAAAATTATTTTAAGTTTTTCTAATGTCAACCCTTAAGCACAGTTCCATGTACTTACATTGGAAACTAGGTCTCGGCGTGGAAGATGCCTAGGGATCCTATAGACTCAAAGGGTTCTGAAAAAGTTAATAACCCTCTTTCCTTGTTACTAAAAAAGACCCGGGCATGGTATTTCATACACCCGCAGGGAGCAGCTAGCTACCTGAACTGCTGGCTCAGACAGCGAGACTCCCTCCACTTTCATCTGATCCTGCTAACGTTTTACAAAGATGTTTGTTGCAATGAAATTGATTGACAGTGAACTTGGCAATTCAAACAGCCTTTGGATGCTCCTTCTCTTTTAATTCCGTTAACAATGATGAACCCAATCTGCTGAAGCCATTCATCAGGAGATCTCAGGACCTGGTCTTGCGGGACTAGCTCAGACTTTCTGGCCAAGGTCCCTTGTTCTTTAGGTCTAATTAGCACTGAGATAGCTTCCCAGCGTCTAAAAATTAAGCTGATATGGATTCTAATGTCCTGATCTGGATTCTAAAATTGGAACCATTTTTTAAGATGCTCTTACTTCCTGATATTTACAAAATGTATTGATCTGCAGCAAAGGAAGTTCATGTTCCCTCAATTAAGTGGATCGACTAGCCCATTGATCAACAAGTATTTTTTCCCTGGGACCTACTGTGTGCCCCCAGTGAAGTAGGAGCTAGTATTAATACTACAGTCTGTGAAAAAGTTGTGGGCAAACGTTATTAGACCTTGGTTGATTCCACAGAGCCCTATCTCCTAAGGTCCTTTGAAATCCTTTTGCAACCACTTCCTACACAGCTAGTGCTCACTCACCCGCAAAGTTCCACTGTTATCATGGTAATGCTGGTGGAAAGGGTGGAAGGGGGAGAGTGGAAATGGGGGTAGAGAGAGAGATCTTGTGGGAACTGCAGCCTCGGTTACCCAATGCAATGAAGAATTCAGACTCGTTCCACTGTCCAGCTGCACATGCTTCTGAGCCACGTAGGAAGTCACACAGTTGTGATTTGGAAAAGACAGGCCTGGCACCTGTGCACAATTTTTAAGTTGTGGCATCAACAGGAGGCAAAGGGAATACCGAAACCTTAACAGCTTGAAAGTAGGTTTCCTTCCTTTCCCCACCATGAAGCAAGAGCTTCTACCAGCCAGAAGAAACAAGTTGTTCTTTGAGGTTTTGCTCCTGCTGGTCCAGCTTAATCTGCAGTGCTTACTAATTGCTATGCGTTTCTCTCTTTCCACCCCAGGACAGCTTTCCTGCCCGCTTTGGAGGAGTCCACTTTGTCAACCAGCCCTGGTACATTCATGCCCTGTACACGCTTATCAAGCCATTCCTTAAAGATAAGACCAGGAAACGGGTAATGAAAACAAACTCGTCATGTAAATTCCAAATGGGGAATGCCTGGGACAGTTATGGTGCCCTCCTCCATCTCGCTCTCTTTCTCTCTCCTCTTACTCTCTCTCTCTCCCCTTATCTTTCACTGTGATTTTTCTGCAGCCCCTGAGCATTTGAGCCTCAGCTGGAGTTTGCAAATGGCCTGGATGTAATCAATAATTCAGCAGAACTGGGTTATTTGCAGAGTCCCAGTGACAAACTGAAGGAAACTTTGAAGGCATGCAGATACCAGATGCCCATTTTACTGTAAATGCTTGTGGGAAATACTGGGTCCAGCTGCCTCCTGTTCATGGAATATTTTAATAGCTAGCATTTTGTCCTGCAAGTGTATTATTGCTATAAAGAATGTTTATAATTTTTTTCTCTCCCGTGGCTTTTGGGGAATAACCGCTAGCTCCATCACCTGTAAGTCTGGGAAAGCATTCTTCATTGGAAATAATAATGCTCTTATGAAGAAGGCTTTTCAAATCTTCATTACATCATTTGATAGCATTTGAGAAGCCAGCCTCTTCCACCCATCAGAGTTGGACTTTTTCATGGCATTCTAACTAGTCGAGTAACTGAACATTCCTTAACCACTCTGAATCTCTGTGTTCTCATTTATAAAATGAGGAAACTGACACCCACATCACAGAGTTGTCGGGGTAATTTGATGAGACAGCATATGAAAGCATGTAGCATGATGCCATTCATGTAGTAGAGACTTAGTGACTTTGATTTCTTTTTATCATTTCTTTTTATCATTTTATCTTTTTATCATTCTCTTTTCTTTTTTTCCCCAACATTACTGAGATATATCTGACAAATAAAAATTGTATATACTTAAGGTATACAATGTAATATTTTATATACACATGCATCGTGAAATGATTACCGCAATCAGGCTAATTAACACATCCATCACCTCACACAGTTATGATTCGTGTGTGTGTGGTAAGAATACTTAAGATCTACTCTCAGCAAATTTCAGGTGAACAATACAATATTATTAACTATAGTCACCATGCCGTACATTAGGTCTCCAGAATTTATTCATCCCACATAACCGAAACTTTGTACCCTTTGACCAATATCTCTCCCTTTCCCCCCTCTCCCCAGCCCCTGGCAACTACCCTTCTTCTCTACTTCTGTGAGTTCAACTTATTTAGATTACACATATAAGTGGGATCACGCACTATTTGTTTTTCTGTCTGGCTTATTTTGCTTCACATAATATTCTCCAGGTTCATCCATGTTGATAGGATTTCATTTTTCTTTAAGGCTGAATAGTATTCCATTGTGTGTATATCCCACGTTTTCTTTATCTATTCATCTGTTGATGGGCACTTATGTTGCATCCATATCTTGGCTACTGTGAATAATGCTGCAGTTTCGTCTTTTAGGCTTTCTGATTTCAACTACCTCCTGGCCAGGGTGATTCTTACAGCACCTTACAGATGCCCTGACACTAGGGGACCTGACACTAGGGATGAGCTCCGAGTATCCAGGGGGGACTGATGATGAGAGGGACCCCCCCACACACATGCCCTGGAAGGTTCCTAACTCCTAGACCTCACATGAGTCCAGTCCTAAGGAACATTGCAGTAGGATATGGAATTAGGAATTAGAACTCACCAGTGTTAGAGGGCAGAGACATTTTGCAATTCATCTTGGGCTCAGGATAGTGCTAAGGACAGAAATGTTCTAGACTGTTCTAAATATGGCTTCAGGCTTTCCAGAGGCTTATTCTTCTACTCAGAACAGAGCCAGTGGGAATTCCTCCCACAAGGGACACTTGCTGCCATGCCATAGGAGGGAATTTCTGGAGCTCTGGGTACAGGAAAGAATCTGACAGGTGGAGGGTCCAGCCTCCTACTTCTGTGTTCCTCCACCCCACAAGACCGCCTGAAGGGAGGGCCAGCCTCAACAACACTCTTTGTCCTTCAAGAACTAGATGTGTTGGTTGGGTGGGTACAAATGTTTTCTATAAACACCGGCGTTGGTATTTAGCTCCGGCATGTTTCAAATATGACAGCACTCTCTAAGAAGTTTTGTAAAAGCCAGAAAAAGTGAATTTCTTTAAAAGATATAGTTCTTAGTAAAATTCAGTCATATCCAACTCCAATGTCAGAAAATGTACATCGTTTTCTGTAATATTCCAGCAGTCTTCTGAGTAATTTGCTCTTCTTGTTCCCATTATCTTTAAATGATGTCATTACATCATAAGTTAAAAGCAATGAGATAGAACAAGGTAGCAAGTGTTTATTATTAAGGTCCTATATTTAAGTATTTTTAAAATCACATTCATATGTCATCATAGTTGACTGTGGTATGTGTACATGTGTGCATGCATTATCGATGGTCCTCTACTTGGGTGCAGCTTATGTGTTACACATAATTCCTTCATGCCTGCAACATAAAGAAGTATGGGGACTGATGTCATTACCCAAATGCATTTTAAATCACCTTTCAGAGCCAATTTCCAAATTGCAGTCACTCAGTGCTAATTATCTACTGTGGCATATCCACTTTGTGGATTTGTCTGAAAATAACTTCAGTGGGAGGAGGGGTTTCTCCCCTGTTTGACCAGTTTCCATCGTTATCTATTATATGCTGAGAAGATGCAGGCTTGTTTGGGCATTAGTCCCAAGTCCAGACAAAAAATGGAAAATTGCTGCAAAAATATCCTGCAATAAATTCTCAGGCCATGGTTTTCAACTCCACTGAATAAGAATGGATGAAGCTTCTACCTTGCACCATATAACCCTGGGCACTAAGGAGAGTTTTTAAAAAGTGAGAAGACACCATCTCTTTCCCTAGATACTCTCTCCCTGTGGGGAAGTGAGACTTAAATGTCAGCAGATACTGAAGAGTTAATGGAGGGCAGTGGGGAGAACCAGAATGGGCAGGTATCGTGAGGACAGATTTGGGAAGAAACCACAACTTGGTCCAGGTCTGAGAAGGGTGGGACAATGGGGCCAGACCACACAGGTTGAGGAATGGAGCAGTCTGGGATGCAGGCATGGCTGGGGTTTTGGATGGTCTGCGTCACTGCTCCTTTCATCAGTAGGGATAATTAGGAGATGACTGTATGTGTAAATTTGGCCCATGGCCAAATAATACTCAATCTGTTCATAAACTTCATTTTTAATGACTATTAACTTAGCCCCTTTTCTGAGCAATAAATTAACATTTTATGAAGGCTAAGCTACAGTCACAAAATGCATGCCTATTTAAACACCATGATCACCAGCAGTGCATCCAATTTGTCATTGCTAAATTATGTATTATATTAAATATTTGGTCATATGTTTTGAATTTTTTATTGCTAATAATTTTTTTCTTTACAGATTTTCTTGCATGGAAACAATTTAAACAGCCTTCACCAGCTAATACACCCTGAATTTTTGCCCTCTGAATTTGGAGGAACCCTTCCTCCCTATGACATGGGAACTTGGGCCCGGACGTTACTTGGTCCTGACTACAGTGATGAAAATGACTATACTCACACCTCCTATAATGCAATGCATGTGAAACATACGTCCTCCAATCTGGAGAGAGAATGCTCACCCAAGCCGATGAAAAGGTAAGGCCTGGGTTATCAGAGCCTCCTAGTCAGAGGTTCATGGGATTTTTGATTTGGGCCAATTGTGGGTTAAGGAGTTGAAGACATTTATGGGCACAGAACTTGAATAAAATGAATTACAATGCATTCTCAGCTGATTTCACTAGAATTGAAAGCCAATGGGGCTTGGCTGGCCCAGAAATATAGTTGTCCCTATTGTGTTAAAGGAACAGTTAGACCTAGCTCGTGTCGTGATTATAGCCATGGTCTCTAGGGAATTTGTTAATACATATGTAATAGAATGTTGGACCTTTGAGATACACTAGATGGAAAAGCAACTTGCTAGAAAATGTTCCTATCATTCATTCATTTAGAACCATTTATTGAGCATTTACAAGCCTACAGCATTGATTAGGGACCAGGGGTACAAATATGAATCAGACACCAAAAGAGCAGAGAAATATGCCTTGGGAAAATCTTCCAGGTTAGACTTTTGGCAATGTAGTTACAAAATAACAGGTGATATTTGGCCTGAGCTCTGAAGGAGAATGATCAGCAATCCAGACTTATAAAAGGGAATCAGCATTCCAAGCAGAGGGCACAGACGGAGGCATGGAGGCCTTAGAGTGACAGGGTGGTCTGGTGTGACAAGCAGGTGGGCCAGGGCATGGGGGTGGCAGTTGGCATGGAATAAAGCTCCAAAGACAGGTCAATCCAGGTGGTGAAGGGTATTGTATTCAATGGAATACCAAGGAAGAGGGTTGATTTTTTAAAAATCGATGTACAAATAATATATGAGTATTTTCTCATTATAAAAATTAAACCTTATTTTTAAGGCTAAAATCCTCCTTGACTACCATCCATAACCTGGTCCCTCCCCAGTAGTAACCACTCTCATCAGGCCAGGGTGGACCCTTCTATTCTGTTTTCCCCACATAAAAAACATCCAATATTGTGTAGTAGTTTGCTAGGGCTGCTGTGATAAAGTACCAAGACTGGGTGGCTTTAACTACAGAAAGTTTATTTTCTCGCAGTTCTGGAGGCTGGAAGTCCAAGAGCAAGGAGTCAGCATATTTGGTTTCTCCTGAGGCCTCTCTCTTTGGCTTGCAGATGTTCATCTTCTCCCTGTGTTCCTACAAGGTTTTCCCTCTGTGTGTCTGTCTGTGTCCTAATCTTCTCTTCTTATAAGGACACCAGTCATATTGAATTAGGGTCCACCCATAGGACCATGACCTCATTTTACCTTAATTACCTCTTTAAAAACCCTGTTTCCAAATATAGTCACTCCCCCTCGAACCCCTGAGGTATGGGGGTTAGGGCTCCAACATATGAATTTGGGGATTGGGAGGGCAAAATGTCAGCCCACAATATATTGTATGTCATATCTTTCCATGACACACAAGGGGACGTCAAAAAGTTTGTGGAAATATGGAATTAAAACATAAAATACAAAATATAAGCTTTATTTCTCAATATAAGCTCCATCAAGTTCAAGACACTTTTGTAAAAGCCATTTAGTCCATTCCTGGAGAACTGAGGGTCCTGGGAATTTAATCATGTCAATGCAGTCTTTTCAACAGTATTAGCTGAAGAAAAATGGGTGCTCTTTAAATATTATTTAACATTGGGAAACAAAAGAAGTCAGAAGGAGCCAAATCAGGAGTGTAAGGTGGATGCCTAATGATTTCCTATTGAAACTCTCACAAAATTGCTCTTGTTTGATGAGAGGAGTGAGCAGTAGCATTGTCGTGGTAAAGGAGGACTCTCTAGAAATTTTTCTGCTAAAGTTAACTTTCTAAAAACACTCTCATAGTAAGCAGATGTTATCATTATTTGGCTTTCCAGAAAGTCAACAAAAAAATGCCTTGAGCATCCCCAAAAACCATTGCCGTGATCTTTGCTCTTGACTGGTCTGTTTTTGCTTTACTGGACCATGCTCACCTCTTGGTAGCCACTGCTTTGACTGTGCTTTGTCTTCAGGATTGTACTGGTGAAGCCTTGTTTCATCTCCTGTTACAATTCCTTAAAGAAAGGCTTCAGGATCTTGATCCCACTTGTGCAAAATTCCCATTGAAAACTCTGCTCTTGTCTGCACCTGGTCTGGACACAATGATTTTGGTATCCACTGAGTGAAAAGTTTGCTCAACTTTAATTTTTCAGTCAATTTGTTTAAGCAGAACCACTTGATATGTCTACGGTGTTGGCTATTGTTTGTGCTGCTAATCATCAGTCTTCTTCAATTGAGGCATGAACAAGATAAATTTTTTCTTCACAAACTGATGTGGATGGCCTGCTGTTGCAGGCTTCATCTTTAACATTGTCTCATCCCTTCTTAAAACAAGTTATCCATTGGTATAAATGCTGATACCTTTGGGGTATTGTTCTCATAAATGTTTCATACAGCATCAATGATTTCACCATTATTTTACCTAACCTTCATCATAAATTTGATATTTATTCTTGCTTTGACTTTAGCAGAATTAATGTTGCTCTGACAGGGGCTCTTTTGAAACTGGTGTCTTATCCTTCTTAGTGCCTCAAACTACATCCTGTTTAGACATATTATAACAATTTTTTTGAGTTTATTTAGCCCCCAAATTTTTGAACTCCATGCATAGTTTTCTCATAACATGCATTTTCCATGAACTTTTGAAGACCCCTCATACCTCATATTTTCAATACTGCATACTATTTCAGAACTTGTATATACTACAGTTTTGCCATCTCCACATTGGTGGGCATTTAGGTTTTTGGGTTTTTTCTCTATTTCAAACAAGGATCAATAAATGTCCTTGGTATGCCTTCTTCATTCTCCTAGGAAGGTTCCTCTGGGTAGACACAGAAACCTATAGTTGCTGGGTCAAAAGGTATGTGCATTTTAAGTTCCAGTCCACACTGCCTAGAGGTCCTCCAGAACTTCTGCACCAGTTG